GAAGCTTCCCCTTTTCAAACATGTTAGATAGTGTATTGTTAGACAGCCCAAGCGAGAAGATGAAGCTAAAATACACCTAACAGACACTGTCATTTCCTATTTGGGGTTTCTAAAGCAACATGAAGACCTGTAGTTACTCTAGAACCACACATAGCTACGTGTAATGTGTGTTTGCATGAGCATCTTCCTGTAATTCTATGTTAATGACCCTCTAGCCATTGTAGGATGCTACAGAAGGTAAAAGTAGTTAGAACAAAGCCCACAAATAGATCACTGTGACCAGTTTCTAAAAAAATCTCTGCAACTAGGGAATCTCTTTCCTATTCCTATCTACACAACGTGAACCTCAAGCACTTTATTCTACTTTTCCCATTTACTAATTTGATGTAATTGTGTGTTCTGTGAGCACATTTGTGCAGTTTCTTCTCTTTTTTTAATCATTCTGCAGCTGCTAAAGAGATGATACACCTCATTATCTTGTTCTGTGGGTCATCTAAAATGGATAGTAAGTAATTCTACCTCCTACAGCTTTGGGAAGGAGCCAGGGAGAACTAGGATAAGATGCCTGACAAAATAAAAAATAAAAAATAAAAAAAATTAGAATGCTTTTTATTTCCAACATAGAAATGTGTTTTCATTTGGCGTGCTGCTTTTGGCAGGTCTGTCGTAACCAAACAGACTGCTAGAGGAAAAAACAGGACCTCCCCAAACACTCCCAGTTAGCTCAGTTGGGAAACAAGTTTCACTTCCAGAGGCAAACTCACACCATGCCCCTACCAGCAGGCAGACCAGCACTGCTCAGCAAGCAGCGTGGGCTCCTCTCTGAGCAAGGACCTGGGGAAGGGATTGTTGTCAGTTTTGATCTCAGTGGAAGGTATGTCAAAGCAGCTTGGGAAGTATTTTCATCCCTACGCTGACTTTTTCTACCTGCAGTATGTTCCAGTGCCTTATTTTATCCTAATTTTTCTTATGCTGTGGTGTCCTTCTTGCATTTAATTTGTGGCACCGCTTTCTAATTGTCCTTTCTTAAGTCGTTTGCAAATTGGGAATGCTGGGACCTCACAGCCCCACTGCCTGGTGCTGGGCAATGGGGATGGCAGCAGGGGAACACGAGGAGGGCATCTCCCCAGCATCCAGCCCACAGCCCTGCTCAGCAAGAAGCACACTAAGAAATAAACTACACAGGCTGAAGATGTATGAAATATGACCGTGTGGAACAACCCCATACACTGATCTGTTCTGCCAGTGAACAAGAGACCAGTCAGTGCTCTGGGAAAGACAATTAACCACCCATTAAGCACACAGGCATTTCTGCCCCCGGAGTCAAAGGTGCAAACATCTCTGCAGAAGAGGCAAGTTGGGGTATTTTTGGCCACAAAGCTTATACTGTGAAAGATGTATTGGGAATGGATTCCTCCAGAGAGAGCTGCCAGAAAGTTTATCCCTGCTTTCCTGTGCTGTTTTCCTTGTAAATCAGCCCTCTCACAAAAAAGCATTACACTGACATGGCCAATCTCAGATCCTAAGTAACATAACTCCAAGCAAGTCTTACCAGTCTCCTCTTCTATCTGACCAGCTGAGTACATTTGGAGAAGCAGCTATTGGTTTGCACACATGTACACAGGAAAATATTAGGGTTCAAGATCAATCCCCAGAATATTGTAACTGTCACTTTACACTGCAATGACTTTCAGCCCCTAAGGATGCGTTCTGTTGGTGGCAGGTGAGTGGTTGGACTGGATGATATTGGTGGTCGTTCTCAACCTTGGTGATTCTATGATTCTGTGATTCCTGGCAGATGAAATTAATGATGCCAACATGCAAACCATTGCTGTGCCTTGCACACCCAACACAGCTTGTGTTCCACAGGTGGGCTTCATTTTTACCAATGCAAAACTTTAGCTTATCCCAAGCATTCAGCCTAACTCTATTTACAGGCTTGTGTTTAGAAGGAAAAGGTTGAGTTGGTGAGCCTGAGCACCCCAAAACCATCTCACCCTTACCAACAATCATCAAATGCTGTTCTACACTCACATTCACACCAGGGGTGAGAAAACAACTCACCAAGGGGCTGAGGAACAGACAGCAATGCCTACCAAAAGCAGTGCTAATCCTTGTGTAGTTGTACCCACAGGAAAATGTGCCCCTCCTGGAGTGTATGGGGTGTGTGCCAACAGCCAGAGAAACTGCATCCAAAGAGGAGGAAAATTCCAACACTCAGCCTGCACGGGTGATCTCCAGCACAGGCTGGGAGCTGTCTGTGCAGCATGCTATCCAGTGGTGAATGCATTCTTTATTTTGAAATGCCTGCAAGTCCAAAGCAAAATTATGCCAATTTTGTCCCTAGCTCTAAAGTTTATTAAGTTGGTGCCTACTTGTACAGGGCTAAGCCTGTGAGGCTCATGTTTTTCTGAAGTAATATTTCCCTGTATAATCTATTTTCTATTACAATGACTTGACTGTAGAGCTGAAATAAGAGCCAGGATTGTTTTCTGGATACGTTATCAGATACCTTCCTTTCTAAGGCCCAGAAAGAGAAATTAAGTTTACAGCAGAGATCACTTCTGTTATTTGGAAGTGAAGGTTTCGTATCACATAAAGCATTTCCAGACAGTGATTTGTGTCAGGCATTTTGCTCACTGGGTATACCCCCAAGCTTATTCCTAGGAGAAAACTTCCACCTCACATTGCTACATATTTGTCATGTATAAAACTGCATTTGAAGAAAAATAAAAACATTTCAAAGTACCGTTCTACAAAGCCAAAAGGTTTTTTGTGAACAGCATACCTGCTTTTAGATGGCAAGAAGGTGGAGAAAGCAATGAGCCAGGGGATGTGAAGATGCAGCAAGGCCAACATGGTACCATCCTGAGGATGTCAGCAGAGACGACAGGAAACCAAGTGCCTTGAGAGGTGTCCTGCCCCAGGCAGCATGCTGATGGGGTGCTGAGGAGCAGAAAGCAGGCTGAGCCATCACCCCTCAGCCATCGCTGCTTCGTTTCCACACCAGGACCTGGAGTCATGCCTTTCTAAGTAGGATGAGCTTCTCTGTTTGGTGAGAGGTGGCACTGGGCACAAACTGGAATGTGAGAGGTTCCCTCTGGCTGTCAGGACTACAAGCACATTTAATGTATACAGTAAAGCAGGTGTAAATGTACATAATATTCCCCTACAGTTGCATGCAAGAAGTATTTATCACAATTCATCAAACTTGATGAATTCATGCTTCATTTCTCTGAAGAAATCAAGAAACTAGACATTAAGGAACCAAGGGGGGAAAACACCAGGTTCCTACTGAGCTCCGAGGGGATTTTGGCACTAGGAGATGTCTGCAGCTGCTGTAGTGAGCTTTAACTGGAAGAAAGGTGGAGAAATTATCCTTCTGGTCCAGGCTAGGAGGTTACGTGTGCTGGTGCACTCACTACTAAAACCCATCGCTGTGTGGTGAAGGCCCTCCTGTCTGAGGCAGGCCATGCGTTCCTCCTGGAGAGCAGCAGAGGCATCATGGACCCAGAGGGGAGCAGAGCCAGCATGCAGCTGAGCTGAGAACCCTGAGGGATGTCCTTTTTGCAGTTCTTTTTGCAAGTTCCTCAGCTTGGAGCCGTGTGTGGTCCAGCCCTGACTTCAGTCCCCAGTACTGCACTACTGGCTTGGTTGAAGACTTGCTCTGAAAAAGAGCTCTGGCAGTTCCTCTCTCATAGCAAGCACTGCCTTACCTCGTGTGTCCTCTTGAAATGTACTGAACCAATTGTTGTGTACTTAAAAATACCTATCTGGAATGCAGGACATTTATTCAATAAATATCTTCTCCGTTAGCAAAAATTAACATCATTAATGCCACCTTACAAAGCAGGAAGCTGAAACACAAAGAGGAAAAGCAATGCATTAGAGAGGATCCTGGGGGGCCAGCACAAGTCATGCAGCTGGAGGCCATGGGGGCAGCCAGCCCTCCGCTCACAAACATCGCTCTTCCAGAAAAGCTGACCTTGCATCTTGGGCTGGATTAGCAAAATAAAGCACAGATAGCAAAGGCCAACTTCCAGCCTCGTTTGAACACACTCAGTGGAGCGTTTGTGCAACAGAGGTTAATGCTTTGCAATGATTTTTTAGCATAGGATTTGTGGCAGACAGAGGCGTGACTTCTCGAGCGCTTTCAATAATTGTGTTATTTTTAACAGTACCAAATAAAAACACAACAGTTGGATAAATATTATATTCATATTTTATTCCATAAATAAATGCCATTGGTTTTAAGCTGGTTGTTTTTACTTCCAAAATGTACAAATAAAGATTTAAATATTTTTGAAGGAAACATTGCAGATGGTTTTAGTTCTGCAGTTTTGATGCAAACACACTTCTTGGCACGGCTTCTTAATATGCCATTTCTATAAATACTTAATGCTTGCAGAAGTGGAGTAAAATACATATTAAATTGAAAAACACAAATAAAAGAGTTAAGACCGAAATTTCAAATATTGCTTTTTAACAGGTAAACTTGCTATGCGAACGCACTACATAAACAGGAATAGAGTCCTTCAGAGAGCTCTGAGATTGGTCCCTTTTGGTATGTTAAGTATTAATGTGAAACTGCTGCTGCTATGATTATGTGGTAATGCTATTTCAGCTAGTTTCTAAACATAACAAATAATGATATTCGTTTTTCTTTAGTTCAAGGATTTAACTCGCAGGAAATCAATTAATAGAATACTTCAGAGAAATAAGCTTCCCAGGTCTTTTAAACCCGGCTCTATTGCTACAGAGATGTATACTTTGAAACAGATTAAGATAAATAACACCACTGTAATTCGGTATTTGCATTAAAAATTCTTAAAATTATTTCCTCTGGGTACACTGACCATACGTTGATGCTCTGAAACAGCTGTGTTTTTTCTTTTAGACTGCCTTGCTTATTTGAAAGTTGCCTTAAAATTTCAATTGAAATATAAATGATCTTTCTTTTTATATAAGACGCCAAAGATAAGAAAAATACCTTCAGGTAATTAAGATAACAGCAAGTTTTATGGCTTATCTAACAGTCAAAAGCATTGGAGATCCAATTATGATGATAGGCAAGAGAGCCCTTTGTCACTCGGTTTTCCTTTGAAGGAGCTGGTCCAGTAATTGCTGGGAAAGAAAGAAAAACAGCCTTAAGATGGGGTTAAAAATCATGAGGTGGAGACCTTCAGTGATGCTGTGAGGTGGCACAACACTCCTCAGATCTACCAGCTCAGATCTACCAGCTATGTTACTCACATAATGAAAGCACTGATAGCTATTCCATCTCAGGCAGGAGCAGCACGGTTACGTGGAGGAGCACACAGCACTTCAACAAGGAAAAGCCATTACATGCAGCAGGATTACCTGGCAGTGCCTCAGATCTGCACCTAGATTATTTGTGCTCAGGTAGATTTCTGCTAGGATAAATTAAACTCATTTTTAAAAACTAAAGGCCTTTGGTGCATGAGGCTCAGCTGTTGATGCTACATCTTTAGCAGTACCTAATGCTAAGAACAAGTCCATCAGCTCTCAGGGTTTGCACATGCTAGCACAGGTACCCCCAGAGCTTCATGGACCTCTCCCAAGAACCTGCCCCTCTGGGAGCACTGCTGCAGGGCTGTGGGCTTTGCTAGACAGAAAGACTATCATGCTATCCACTGCAAAACAGCAAGGCTTGGTGTCTGAGAGCTCTTCCCCTCATATAGTTGAAGGAGGGAGGCTTTAGGTTGGACATCAGAAGAAAGTTCTTTACTATGAGAGTGGTGAGGTGCTGGAACAGCTGCCCAGAGAGGCTGTGGATGCCCTGTCCATCCCTGGAGGTGTTCAAGGCCAGGTTGGATGGGGCCCTGGGCAGCCTGGGCTGGTATTAAATGTGGAGGTTGGTGGCCCTGCATGTGGCAGGGGGTTGGAGCTTCGTGATCCTTGAGGTCCCTTCCAACCCAAGCCATTCTATGATTCTATGATTTACTGATCAATGGTCAGACATTCATCCTGTAAAGCAGCAAAGAAGGCTGACGGACCCGCACTGTGCATCGTTACCTTTTTAAAGGTCTCCACACGCATTCTGTTGCTCTGGATGATTATCCGCTTCTGTTTTTCCTCTTGCTTCTTTTTTACTTCAGGTAAATTGTCATAGATCCTGGAATGAAGTTAGAAGGTTAACTTCACACATCATCCCCGGGACTTGCAAATAACTGGGAAATCTCCAATGCAATTCTTGGCATTAACGAGTATCTCCAAGTACCCAAATTAGATCCATGACACAGAACAAGTATTATAAATTATTGACAATAACGTTACAAAAATCTGACTGCTTGAAAAACATTGCTCATTTTGGACTAAGGAATAAGGAGAGATGGGATCAGGTTATCTCCATGCAGCAGCGCAGTTCTGGGGAAGCTTCTAATGGGCTCGGTGGATTTGGTTCAAAACAGAATGTGGCCTGCATGCTAGCCCTCCCAGCCTGTGAGGTGACGAGGCAATCCCCTGCCTCCAGTGTGAAGCAGCAGAGAATAGGATTGAAGTCTAAACTCCAGAGATTTGTACCTTTTGGATCTCATGTGCATCTCCTTCTCCGGAATGAATCTTTCCTTTGGTTTGAAGAGGTTATCTAGCAGAGGGAAAACAAAGTTAATCAGAGGAACCTGTGTTTTCTGAAATTTTAAGCCTCACATCTCACTCAGTCATGATCTGAGACTCCTGATTAGACTTCTCTTGGCTTAAGCTCAGATTCGTATCTCCATAAGTTGGTGGAAAGGCTGAAAAACTACATCTGGAGCTGAAATGGATCCCAGAACTGCCCTTTGGAAGGAGAAGGATGGATAAGCCCACAGCAACCAGCACCGTTCCTTTATTTTAAATGCATACAACTTCTGTCATTGTCACATGCAGTGGTGCACACTGATGTTCAGCCAGGCAGCAGCCACCAGTGCTGCTGTACCAAAGGACCCAGACAGTCAACTGCATGCATCCAGCAAACCATACCCCCTGCTGATGTCTGCCAGGAAGCTGGCCAGGCACGAGCATTCCCATTTCAATTTACACTTAGTTTGCGGGGCGGTGTGTAATTATGCCAAGCACTAAGAGGAAGAAAATTGTATTACTCTTTGCTGATCAGCTGTGAGGATATCTGAGATAATTCCAATCAGCATGGGAAATAATTACTGATCTTCATAGTCGGTGGGTCCCAAGAATAGGTAATTTTAGCATCTTTGTTAAAATGGTCTCTGAATGGGAAGGCATGCCTGGGAAGGACACAAATGGTACAGAGGACAGGGTATGGTGCCCTGCAAGTCTTGGTAAGCTGAGAGGCAAAGGTATTTGCAAGTGCCTCTGCAGAACATATGTATAAGATAAATATGTGTGCAAAGCTTTAAGCACTTCCATTTGCCAAGGAAGTTTAGAAGACATAATATATATCACAGCAGGCACCACGTCGGCCTCTTTCTGCCATCTCACTGAAGAGACAAAATACAATAATCAAGGCAAGGAAATAAATACAGAGAATAATTTGTTCCAGAGCTGCCCGGTGCAGACGCTGGCCCAGAGCAAAGCCAGCCACCGCTACCCAAAAAAGCCCCCTTCCCCAGCAGGTCTGCTTCCCCGCTGCTGAAGACACCAAATGTTTCGGGGATATTTATGGAAGTTGTCCTAGCAACCAAACAGCCTCAAGCAGGGGATGGGGCTACACCCAGAGGCAAAGCTGTGCTCGGATTACCGCCTCGCTCAGCAAAGCGCCACGTGCCCTTGGAGAATGCTGCTGCATCTCTGCAAAAATAAAAGGGAGATGTGCAGCAGCCTCTATTCTGTCCCAGCACTGTTTTTAGGATACAAATTTTGACTGAGGACCGGGACCGACTTTCCTCCACTCCGTGGTTATCTGCACTTTAGTCACTAATACTGCATCTTCAGTAGACACGAGCAACATGCTCGACTGACTGGGAAAATACAATTTGCCTTTTATTTAGTAGTGTTTTTATGCTCATTTTTATGCTCATTCATTTAAAAGGAATGAAGACTTGGATGCTATAGCTGCCCAAATAATCCTTACACACAGAGGAGCAGACTGCTGCTGTGACCCAGACAGACCTGGTGGGGTAGCAGGGACCCGGTGGCACCAGCTTACTGGGACCAGTGTGGATCCCAGCATGGTGCCCTGCTGCTCGAGGCTGCAAACCTCATTTGGAAGCTCAGGATTGCAAGACTGCAAGACGCATCCCTTCCCCAAGGCATCCACTAACCCAGACAATGGCACAGGATCACGGCAGGGAGTTGGAACTGGATGATCTTTGAGGTCCTTCCAACCCAAGCCATCCTATGATTCTATGATTTCCAGGAAAAAAAAAAAAAAAAAAAAAGCTGCTATGGGTATTATTTTTCTCCTTTTTTTTTTTTTTTTTTCCCTGAATAAAAGCTGTTAATGACACATTAGCACTTTGAGTATAACACTCTCCAGATGATACAGAAACGGTTCTGAAGGGCATCAGACTCATCTCTGTCTGCAATTGGGATGGGAACTCCATGCGTGGCTATGTCAAAGGTTTCAAAAGAAAGATTTAAAAGGCATCATGGGGAAAAACCTCCAAGAAAAATTATAAATCTACCTTGGTTATAAATATACCCTTTGTGAAGCAGTATAGAGTCAGAAAGTTTACACACATGTAAGTTTACACATATGTAAATGTTTGGGTGGTATCTCTTGGCTCACTCTCAGGTCTCTATATAGTAGAAAAAAAATCACGAACAAGAAAAAATCAGTGCTAAATCTTGAGGGTTTTCAGGATAAGAATTCTTAAATTAACTGAAAAATTAATAAAAATGTTTTTAATGAGTAAATTAACCAATATTTAAATGTCTGCTATTTTTATGTTCAATACTGAACACATATTTCCATCTGGAGGAGCAGCACAGATTCAGAGCTATAATAACCTCCCAAGAACACCATGATGATCTGAATTAACTTCCTTCTTACTGAACAAAGCCCTAAGTTAGACATAAAATTGAAAATTCCCCAAGTTGACAGCCTTCTAGGTTGCATTTTATCAAAGTTCCTTATCAGATCTCATAGCCCTGTATTGCTTTTGGAGAAAACTATGCTGAAGGATAAACAAGAAGAGCTTTCAAAACAGATATTTGGTGTTTCCAGTGATGGAACACAGTCTTAAAAAAGAATAACAGTACAGACAGATGGGCAGGAAACATTTCACTGGTGTTTTAGTCAAACCCTGTCAAGACAGTGAGCTTCCAGCATTTACACCAATGTTGCAGTGTGCAACAGTGGTCTGCAAGGTCTCCAGAGCAGGAGAAAGAAGCTACTTCAGCAAGTTGTAAATGAAATTAAATGGGTCAACAGTGTAATGTATTTTAACTCATATTAAACTGTACCACAGACAGGATGAGCAACAAACCTGCTTGGGAAGTTATTAACAGTGACAAAATTTATCAAGGGCTAAACTCTGCCCATCAGAATATATAAGTATATGTATCTCCCCTAATATAAATGTGAATTCTCAAGGTGTTAGAAGCTAAAATATATCCTTTGAGGTTGTGTTGCCAGTTCCTGAAAAGCCAGGCAGTGATAATGGTGATTCTCTGCTTAAGCTGATTTTCACTGAACTAAAAAAATTCAGTCACCAAAAACCCATTTGCCCAGAGAAGTTCTAAGATACTTTAGTTTTGTTTTTTTTTTTTTTCAAACACTGCTTTTCAAATCAACAGTCCACAAAGAAATAAATTAACCTGGAGTCTAAGATAAATGCCAAGGTGACATTCAGCTCAGCATGCCCATAGCATTTGGCTGGGAATTCATCCAGAGAAATGAACTAGTGCCTACAGAGGTGCTGCCCAAAGTTTTGCACGTTGCACATCAATGACTTCATGCAGTAAAGCCAACAGATGTGTTTTTGGTATTCTTTATAAGAAAATGCAACAAGCCATCAGTTAGAGGGTTGATGGCAAGAGTGCCTGGACTTTCTGCTCATCTCTGTGAAACGCTGAAGCTGAACAATTGTCCTTCTCCCAAGAGGAGCCACAAGCAGGTGGTTTGTGGGTTTTCTAACTCTCCATGTCCACCTACACTATTGCTATCAATATTTCTCATCCTCCTTAATGTTTTAGTCTTAACAGTGGAAAATGTCACTGTGATTGCCCCCTCCCCCCCCCCAAAAAAAATACTAAAATCTACAGGTTTATGATAACTTTTCATACTAAACTCATTTTGGGCATGATGTGGGAGATTTCACAGAATTATAGAATTACCAAGGTTGGAAAAGACCTCCAAGATCATGCATTCCAACCACCCACCTACCACTAACCATATCCCTCAGTACATCATCTCATTCTGCTCTGTCCAAAAGATACTTGAGCATTCATGTACTTCAGGAAAAAAAAAATTAATTATCATCTCACTTGGCTTTTCTAATTCATTCATTCATTCTTGTTTGACTAAAGCATACAGCACTGAAGAGCCCACAGTTTCCTTAAAAAGCCACATTATTAGTGAAGAAAGCATGACAGGTCTACGTAAACTGATCAAAAGGTTTATTTCATCTTTGGTAAAACCTGCAACAGCTTCTCAATCTTGATTTCTTTAGTTTCAGTTTCTAATCATGGATCAAATCTGACCTTTTACTCCTCGATTAAAAAATCCATCATTGAAAATTCAGTTTTCAATTTGGCTACTTTAGGACCTTAATGAAATTATCCCCCAGCAAACTGACTGAACTTTGTAAGTCACCCGCTACAACGCACATCGTTTCAACACTGTAATTATCCACACAGAAAACTTCATATTTAAAGATTTCCCAATTTATCTCCACCTTCCTTGACACCACACCTTGGGAGATGGACCCCTTTTGCAGAGGGGCCTCTCTTAGATGCTCCCCCTATTGCAAGCAGCTCCAGAAATCCACAGAAACGGGCTTTTATCTGCCTGAAAAGCTTTCTGAAGAGCAGCCTGGACTTCCTCTACTCGATACTAATTGGCAGTGTGCTCTAACACACTTTGAAAGGCTTCTGACCTCAGTCTTGCTTATAATTGCCCTTTTTGCTCATCTCCCTGAGCTCTCCCATCCCCTTCCCTCCTCCTCTCCTGTTACTATCACCTTGCACAGATGCTGGCTCTCTCCCCACCGTTCACAAGGATGAGGGCACGGAGGGGACATGCCCCCCTCACTGCACCTACGTCCTCCCCTGCTGTCACAGAGGGTCCCACGTCCCCCCAAAGCCCTGCAAGGTGCTGCCTGTGTCTGTCTGCCTCACAGGCGCTGCCGCAATCAATATGATGAATAATAATATCATAAAAATAGGTCATTCCTCTTCCTAATTCAATTACTCGACTGCAGCTTAATCTTTATTCAGAACTGTCAGCCTTAACCAAGTGGCCAGGTGCCAACAGGATCAGCAGCGCTGGCGCCAGCTATGAATATTGACAGGGAAAAGAAACCTGAGAAATGGCAAACCTGAAGTCATACACAAGCAGAGTTGGGCAGGTGGATGCAAACATCTCATCAGCCACCAACGGCACCTAAAGGCCACAAGGATGGACTTTTATGCTAGCTGCACACTTGGGGCATGTCCTCCAATTGCCATCTTCTCTCCCCACTGAATATGCAGTCCAAATAATAAACTCCGTGGTGCAGAGCTGCTTGAGAATCCAGCACTTTGAAAGCACAAATAGCAATCCTTGCCCTCCAGGCTTCTGCCATTACAGTATGGCTTCTTGGAAAGGTTTAGAAGCATGAGTAAGGAGGTATAAACTTGTTTCCAACACATTACTAAAGATACAGGATTTGGAATAAGACTGGATGCAAATCTAAAGAAACACAACAGGCACATCAGTAGGGGCTGACTTTCCACTTATGATGCCATTTCCAACCAACCATCACGCTCCCAAAGGAAAGCAAAATGGAAGGTATGAAAAAACCCATACATGCCTGAGAAAATTTGTTAAACCTCTGAAAGTGCTTGTGTACTCTAAGATCAGAAGGCTGTTCATTATGCAGATTTAAAGGCCTATAAACAGCTGGTAGTCCTGTCACTGAAGTAATTACATTACGCTTTTTGAGATTTAAATCCAGTTATTTGAACATTGTTTCTATTCAGTTCGTCACAGTGGGATCTCTAATTTGTTCGACATAGTCAACAGTAGAGTAGTCTATCTTGGACTAATTAGCACACTTGAAATGTAGCAGTACACATTACCCAGCACAAAGGCTAGTACAAGAGTTGCAGGTTCTCTGCCTTCAAAGTGCTCTTGTGACGGTAATGTCTTCTGTGGGATAAATATTTCTGTTTTTCTAAGGTTACCTTCAGTATTTCGTAAGGTCTTGTTCAGGAATTACATTTAAAAATGGTAAACAACTTGGATTTCAGAGTTTTTTTCGAGGATGAGAAGGTAAATGCAAGCTGCACAGATGTTGGTATTTATATGGAAATGAAGCTGAATGCCAGCTTTCTTTCTCCTTCAAGAAACTCTAAGTTGTAACAGCACTGCCAAAACATTGGATATCTAATAATTTCATGTTATTAATGAAGACATTCTAGGCTGTTGGAACAATCTATCAGAGAAGTATTTCTGACGGTCATGGCTCTTTGCTTTGGGTGACATTGATATAAAAGATGCAAGTCAGGAGTGAAAAAGCAAACTGATTTTGGAAAGATTAATCAAAACAGTGACGCATTTACAAAGTGCAGAAGGGAAACATCTCAGGCTGCAGTTCTGCCCCCATTTACACCGAAGTAAAAGCTGGCTGCTGTCTGATGGGTCAGTCCCACCTTGACTGCTTTCTGCATAGACTACATATGGGAAACTAGGCCAGGAAATGTCTTCCAGGGGTGGAAAATGAATGGGATAACTGATGTTACTGACGATGCTTGCAGTGTGTATGCTGCAGCGTGCTGCTCTGTGAGCATCTTGAAGGTAGTCAGAAATGCTCCTCCTGTCCAGCCACTAATGTGCCTATAATCAGTGCTTGGGGTCACTCCAATGGGTTCAGTGGAAATTAAACTCCTCAGACAACAAACCGTTATGAGAAAGATCTCTGAAAAATGCAGGAGGGTGTGCTGGCAGCGAGCCCTCAAAGCCATAAAGACCTCTCCACACATCCCAGAGACAAGAGAAAAGAGGAAGCTATCAGATGGAAAAGAAGCAACCGCAGGATCACACCCTGAGGCCTGGGGCTGCCATCAGTACTGCGCTGTGTACTTAAGCACATTTCCAGGTCATCATTTTACTCTCCTGGGTTCTTAATTTCAAATGGTGTTTCAAAACTGTAAAAGAGCAGATTGCTTCCGAGACAAAGATGCCTGCAGGTGGGCTGGATTTGGCAGGACTTTTCAGATGAGCAGGAAGGAGGAACATCAGCAATAGTACCAATTGAAATAGCAGAGGCTGTGAGGAGGTGGCAAAGCCACTGTCCTGCATGCTCAGAAGCGTTTGGTGCCCAGTTCCTAGGACTTCTAAAATGCTGACATCTAACAGCTGCTTGGGCTGCAGTAACACCACCTAGGTTACAGCCACCAACCTGTGTCCCCAGCTTGGCCTGGTGTCACAGCTGCTCCTGGACCACAACCGATTTACAAGCAGTGTACCCAGAGATGGATATGGCATTCAAGACTGTTTGGATCTACAGGATATCCACCAGATATAGGATGATATTTGTCCTTTTCCAGGTGCTTCGTGCCCTACACAAACCCCAGGCTCTCAGGCATAAAAGCTATGTATGAAACAGTGCCATAGACAGGGATGTATGCTGCCATGTTGCCTTTGCTCGGCCAGTTTGGTGTTGTTGCTGCAGGAGTGTGGTACACAAGCAGCCTGTGAGCATGCTTTGGGAAGGGCTGGGTACCAGCAGAGCCATAAAAACGAGAAGCTGGCAGCAAGGGAGGTGATGCTGCTCTCTCATCATCTCCCACCTTGCCTCCTGATCACAGCTCTGCTTGATGAGCTGGAGCAACCATTTGATGTAACAAAAAGCCAAACTGGGAATCCTAGTTTTAAACATTAAAAAGAAATGAAGCTCTTGATAGATCAGCTCTGATCCAGTTTAAGCATTGGAACAGGGCTGGGCCACGTGCAGTGACAGAGCAAGGGGTGACATGGCTGCTTGCACCCACAGCCTCCCTTGCTCCAGGTTATAATGTGAAAAGGCATCCTCAAGTCGCCAGGATTTTGCTGTCCACTTCTCATCTCAGTAAACAAAACTGTATTTGCATTTGTTATCTGGACTATAGCTGCATTCTCCTTTCTTTTTTTTTTCTTTCTTTTTTTTAAATTTAATTTTCATTGCTTTAAAGGCACATTTTACATGCTAAAATAGCCTTTCAGAAAATACAGAATACTGATAACAAACTTTTCCTCCTTTCTAACCTGCAGGACAGGCAGAAGGGAACGTAAGGGCCATGACCACAGTAGGACAGATTGTCTCATCATCAGAGACATCAGCAGGACACAGGCAGCCAGCACCCTTGGTGAGCATACAGGGGAATCCCTTGGCTCTTCTGCGAGAGGGAGCATGGCCAAAAAGTTCAGGAACATCTGTACTAAACAAAGATCCCATACTCTGGGACTCATTAGTGATACTAATCCTACTGCACAATAGCATCCATGAGGAGGAGTCCTAAAATACCAATTGTCAGGACTCAGAGCAAATTAAATATGCTCTGAACACTCCTACACAGCCCTCTGAACTGCAGCCCACACAGTTGTGCTTTATCAGCAATCTAGGATTTACAGCGTTAATTACAGTTGTACTCCAACAACAGACTTGTGGCACTTCTGTCATTACAAAAATATTAAGATCTTACAAATAGGAAATTACACTTGGCTACGTGAAGGCAAATGACTTATGGAAACTAAAGATTCTCTTTAGACAAATTTATCTTTAATGACCAACCACTAAGAGAGGGAAATCGTAATTTACTTGAATGATTAATGAATATATTTCAATCTTATGCTTTTATTGCTCATTAAACAAGCATAAAAATTAATCATCGTTTAAGAAGAAAGAGGTTTAACCTTTCAACTTTTTGTATCACTAAGTGTTTACAGAGCGTTTTGGGGGGGGGGGGGGCTTTTTAAGATGACAACCAAAGAAAGAGATATTTGCCACTTCTTCTGAGAAGAATGACAAACTCTTCCCAGTGAGAATCCGGTTGGATTGGCACAAAGCCCCACATGACTGCAGCTGAGCAGTGCATCTCCGAGCCATTCGAATCCAAAGTAATTACCTTGGATAATTGAAGTGCTGAATGAATTTTATCAAGTCTTTAAAAGCTACTTCATCTTCTTTGCTTTGTTTACATGTGCTTATTTAGCTCTTACTATAAATCCCGTTATGCATGTAAGATAGGTTCCATCACATGACAGCAAATGGCATACACGTAGTGATAGAAAACAATATTCCCCAATATAAAGCATGCCGAGGGAAATAAAATAGTTTTGAGGGGTACAAGCAGAGCTGATGTACTCTTAATGACCACAAAGTTGTGGAGTTTCATCACTTCCTCATTGAAAGACTTGGCAGGTGTTACCAGACATTGCAAATCGTTTGCCTATCATCATCCCTTAGATCACTCAGGGGGATTTTTGCTCTTATGCTTTGTCAGAATAAGAGATGAAGACAACCTGAACCTATTTAATGTTTTCAAATGTTTTATTTTTCAGTAGAATAACATGGCTGTAAAGAGCCACAAGTTTAAATGAAAAAAGTAATTTAAATGATGTTTTTTTCATTAGTTAACTGAATTAAGGAAAATCCAGATAGCAATTAAAAAGAAAAGAAAAAAAAAAAAAGGGTGTGTGATTTGTTTACCACGTTGTGCCTAGGTAAGATTTACAGGGATGCTATTGTAAGGGGGCTGCTGAAAGCCTAACCATTAGGATATTGCAGAGTTTAGATGTGTCGATTTATGCCTTGCATCCAGCTGCTGGGCAGACAAGCCCACCTTCACCAGCTCACTGCTGAGGGCTTCATGTGTCAAGTGGTGAGACTACACATGATGCTGCTAAGACCCAAACACCACCTGTCCTCCTACCTGAGACTCCCCAGATCAGCCTTTCTGTGAGCTGTGATAGGTACAAAATGTCAATGGTGCTTGTCTACAACGAGTAGAACACAACTGTTTGTGATAATGACAACGCATGGCCAAGGAAGGCTGCCATGGACCAGAGATAACACCTTCTGCCCACTTACCCTATCTTTCCAATTCAGAGACCTCGTTCTCTGAGCACCACGACAGACACTGGAAATAGGAGCAGTGGGTTTCACGTTTGTTCCCAACAATACAGAAATCAAGGTTTCAAGAACAGCTCCACACCCATTAACTGGTCACAACACAACTTACCACTGAGCGGGTCAGGAACAGTGTATTGTTTTTTTTTGTTTGAAGTGGATGCTGAGGAAAGCTTGCGGGGTGTGCTCACTGGTGCATCACTCTGCTGGGCTTTCCTCTGCTGCACCATATGTTCCAGTTTCTTCAGCCTTTCTTGCGAACGGGAAATGAAGTGAGGCTTATGGATTTCTAGTGCTTCCTAAATAAAACAGAGAAACCACTTTGTTTTAGAAAAAGGAAGAAAAAAAAAGTGTGGTATTCATCTAGCTGGGTTCTGTAAGAGATTCCCAAGGAGTATCATCCCTTGTCTGTACAAAAGTTCACAAACTGCTTCCTATCTGCCTTTGCTCCCTTTCATTGTTAGAAAGGTGCTTTGGCATGTACCTTTCCTCGTCAGGTAAAGGAGAATATTTCTGGGGGAAAAAAAACCACCCTTTAAGAAGATTTATCCAAGAGGTTTCAAATTACGTACTTTTATGCTATCCGTATTCAAGTTCTTGATATTTTGCCTATTTCTTTGTCTCACCACATGCCTGAAGTAGCTTGTCACTGTCTGTTCACAAACTTTTCCATTTACTTAGGTTATCATGCAGATACTCCTGTGGATGATCCAGAAGGATCGCGTTTTCCAGTCAAAGTTTGGGAATGTCTCAGTACAGGGAACAGGAATAAAGGTTTGTCTGCAACTTGCACTGGACCAAGAGGAAAGCATGGCTGCTGCTGGGGTTTGGTGCATCCCTGGATCCCAGCCACGAGTAAGGCAGCCCCAATTAGTCTCAGCAACTAATGAAAGTGACCAAAACTCACCAGGAAGGAGAACAATGAAGGAAATGCCAATTTCTACCCACAGCCAGTTCCCAGGAAGCAACAATCATCCAGGAAAAAAAAAATAAAAAATCTCTCAAACCCTACATTAACACCAACGCTAAAAACAAATGGGTGTTTTACCTGCAGTGTCAGTGGGGCTGGTGAACCCTTCTCAGGCTCGGAGCCAACATCTGGCTCCACAAGCATGCTGTGTGTCCCACAGGTGTCACTTGGCCAGCAGGCTGAGGACAGGGCTTCCTGGCTGGCTTGTGCCTGCACCTCCTCCTTGTCACGCTGCTCCATTTTGCCACTTGAACCACAGGACTGGCAATCACCTTCAAGAGATTTAAAAGTTCATTAAGAGTGCGCGGTTAATTTTTTATTGAATTCTCCACCTCATTAGACAGAGAGGGCAATTTCAGAAATAAGAATGCCGAGGTATTATTAATAGGCCTCATTAAGCAGAATAGATCAAATCTAATCATGGGTGCTACTCGCTGCCCTGTGACACCCAGAGCATCTTTCACATTAAGCCAGACATCGCACAGAGGTGTAATTACACCGCTCTGATGCTCAGCTCTGTTTGCTGGTAGCCACCTCCCGACAGCAAGACACTTCTACACACAGTTACATCACAGAAAGCAGAGGGTATCACTCTGCAGCTCACAGTTTACTTCCATTTATTGCACAGACTGCATGAAATAACGTATTGTTATAGGCCTTAATCACGTAACATTTTTCTTGGGCCGTACTGAGGATTTCATAAACCCCACTCTTGTTTTTACTTTGCTGATAATATGGTTTGCTTTCGATCACTTCTACATTTTCATGAGCTAGTGGAATGACTCCATGAAGAAAACTAATAAACCAGGGCTTAATATGCATTATAGCACATTATTATGAAAGCTGTCAATTCGCAAAGTCCCGAATCGAGAAAAACATTGATTTTCCACCCCTAGAATTATGCTTTATTGCTCTACAGCTGATATTTTCTGCACAAGTTAGGGCCAAAAGAGGGAATGAACTCAAAAATCAGACAGTTGATACGTTAAAAAAAAAAAGTGACAGAATTAGACATAATCAAAAATAACAAATTAACTTCAGAAAAGGCCCATATGCACTATTTCAAAAAGTCACACTGGAGTACTTCTTCCTTGCCAAATAATTTGATTTCTAGAACTAAACATCTGGGACTAAAGCCCATTACTGTTTTATTTCAATTTTTGGTTACAATAAGCTTAAAGTATTTTCCTCTTTATGACATATTGTACATATTATATTGTACTTAAAAAAAAAAAAAAGTTAAAATAATCTGTTTGGGGTACATCCGCCTTATAAAAGCTTGAGCTGCTCTTCCTCTCTAATACTGTTCTTCTTAGCATAACTCATTTTGGAAAAAAAAAGTTGAAACCTGTGACATGAAAATTAAGCTCCTCAATAAGTCTAGTTTTCAGAGGTGTCAATTAACTTTAACAGATCTGAGTGGAGGCTTCACTTTCATAAAACAAAGTCACTTCCAGCTAATGAAATGGCACGGTTTCATTTCTGGCACCAAAAGCAGAGCATCAGCTGCTCTCACCTAAATAGGTGTTACATTTAGTAGCTTTATAGTCAGTAATGAAAATGGTTTCCCTACCTGCCTACGAAACAACCACTGCCACCACCACCACCACAAATCTACCTATAACCTGTACCAGCTGTCTTCTGCAAAACTCCATGCATGAATTCAACTTCCTATGCCATCTCCATTTTAGCTCGTTGAGTAAACATGAGAAGACATCCACATACTGCTGAATTCAAAGAAAGTATGTTTTAAGTGCTGGAACCTTGCTGATAAGCAATTGTGAAACCTTTTTCTTTCCATGAAAATCTCTCCAAATAAGATATTTCACGCTATGACTGTGCCCCAGATAGTTCAGGCTGTCGTATCACAGGAAAAAAAAGAAAGGAGATTGCAGAAGTAAAACTGAACAAGGTTGTAAAATAACCTCGTGGTGTCTCTTCGTTGGGCTGAGAATGATTGACACAGCAGTCGTAACATTTTCTTGGGATTTTCTTGAATCTACTCACAAAGTAAGCCCATCTTTCTCATTTTTATTTTGTTTTCTATTAACCATAGCAATGTATACAGTTTGATTAGTTGATGTGATCTCTTGCTAGATGACTCATACTCAGTACTTAAAGCTAGACAAAAATGGACTGACTTTCCATTATTTCACTTTTTTTCTTTGAGACTGATCTCATCTTATTATTGAAACCATATTCCTAAAAACCACAGTAGGATTTGTACCTTACTTTTTAGGAGCTGGTTTTGCCTGTGAACTTTTTCTTCTAAGAGGACTCTTGATGAAGCTTTTATATTGCACGTACAGTTGGAGATGGACATTTTTGGTTTCAGGATGCCCTGGGCTTGGATCTCTTTGGATGCAGAGGTGCCCTTGGAGGGATCACTCCTTTTTGGTGAGCCATCAGTAGCAGCTGTGGTTGCTTTTCCCAGTGTTGTACCCAGAAAAGAGGCAGAGGCTGTTTTGCTTCTCCTGCTCATGGTGCAGTGCTTCTTCTGGCTTCCAGACAGCATGTGCTTTCCTGTGAAAAACAAGAAAAAAAATAATGTATAGCATGGGAACATTATTATTTTCAGCCTTCTGTTCCTCATCATTTTTATTTCAGACATATATGTTAAAAGTTGTAAGTGATACAAAGATTGTTGTGACTGCCACGCAGATGTACTGCAACAAAACATTACTGATAGAAATAACCAGAGATACTTCATAAAACTAAGCTGCTATTCTAACCAATATATACTCACTCTGATGGACGGAGTGGAAGGAGTGAAGGCATTTCTAATGCACACGTATGACATGTGACTTTCTCCTGTCTCTTATTCACTGGATGGAGAGATTTTAGCTTTGTTATACCTGGTCAAAATTAAAACTATGGGTCCAATTGTGGCTGTGAGGAGAGCAAAGGTCCAAGTGTTTTAAGGTCTCCATAGCCTGCTGGCTGCCTCACAAGCACCATCCCACATGTTTGAGTCCACATTCTACCTCTGTACAAAGCCATGGCAGAAACTAGCAGCAGAAAGGTCTGATTTGTACAAGACATGCTCTCTCCTGCAGTAATTTTCATGAGAAGGATGTTGAACAGCACTATAACTGCAGGATTCTGCCATGCCTAAAGCAGCAGAACTCATCAGTTAAGTTCTATGCTACACATACCCTAAAAGATCATTTAAACAGACCACCACTACTGCCAGCAGAACCCCAGAAAACTGAAAGCATGGGCACACGAACGCACAGAAGTGTCCAGAATAGGAAAAAAAAAATAGAATTCTGGAAAGGAAACGCAAAGAATTGGGGACAGCTTGGAAAGGGCAGCAGGATCAACAAGTGGGAGGAAGACAAAAAAAGAAAAAGAAAAAAAGAAAAAAAAGCAGATGGGAACTGTTCTACGTTCTTCTAGAGTACTCCCAGAGGTCCCCAAATGGACCCACACAACTGTGCACACAGGATAAGCGCTCTTGTTTTTTTTAATGCTGTGCAAAAATTGCTTATGGTCTGTCCTAATCACAGGCTGGCTGGAGACTTGAAGATTTACGTAGAAGGAAATGACTGATGGTTATTAAAAAATTAGTGAACTTTTTTAGTGAAGAATGATTACTTCTATCTTTGTCCTGTGATCCAACCCATGAAAAGTGACGAAGTGGCACATTATGTTAGACCATTCCTTATTATTATTAAGTAATATTAAATCCTGCTAGTGAGATGCAGGGTGTTTTCAAACCACTTCTCTATCCTTAAATCTAATTCTAGGAGATAATAAATTATATCTTTGCCACATAGTTTCCTACACATTGCAATGGTCTGAATAACTCATACTTCATTCTTGTCTTCCTGCATTTTGGGGAACATCAAAGACATTATGGTAAGCAGCTAGTCCTTTCCCTCACCACGAAGATCAGAAAAGTTTTTAATGTAATTTTACATTTCCTTCAGTCTTTAGTGGGGGGATCCCAGAAGATCAGCATGGGCAGAAAAATTAACTTTTTAAAAATTAAATTAGTTGAGATGAACTCCATCCTAATCAATTTCACAGACAAACAGAAAATCTGGTCAAAGCAAGGAAGTGCACACCCAGCTCCCAGACTCTAATCTAGCATCTAAGGTCTCCTTCTTGCTGCTATAACTGATTTTGTTCTCCTTGCTTTTCACACACTGCAACTATTTGCCTTCTCTTTTGTCAAACCTCATCTCTCCTCTCTCAGATGAAAATAGTTTTGATGTCAATACAACAAACCAAAAGCACTCAGCTCTGTACAGACCCTCAGCTGGAGCTCACACGTACGCAGTGCTTTCTTCTCCCATCCCCTGACTGACCCTGTACCTGCAGTTACAAACTGTGCTTCTGCAAATGTTTCGTGACATACAGAGGGAAAAGACATTGAGACAGATTAACGGTGTGATGGGCACCAAGGAGCATTTGTGGCAAGAGGTGGAAGCAGACAGCACGAGGAGAAGATGAAGAAAGCAGCAGGTAGCATTAAGTAACTGCAAAGCAGCAGAGAAGGAAGTCTTTTCACAAAGGCAGCCAAGATACCAGAAATAGGGGGGGTGGAGAGGGCAGCTGAGCCACAGAAAGAACTTGAATGGAAAACAGATTATCTCTTTAAATCATCTTTTAAATTAAAATTGTTTATTGGCCAGCAGAAAGCAGAGAGGAGAAGAAAAAAAAAGTGGGAAGCAGAAAAGAGTTTCTGCTCATCCAAAACAGCATCGCAGTAGGAGATCGTTTGCTTTCACATCTAGCAATGGTCTGTACAACAAATGTGTGCGCTGTGAACCCAAACAGCTTCTTCACTGAGACTGTGAGGCTGTTCAGCAAGCATGGCTGTGTTCCTGTATTGGCCATTTGCTGCTGCTGGGCACCACTATCCAAAATGCCAGGGTGGATTGCTGGGACAGCAAGCATGGGCTGCAAGGTGCCAAAAAACAGAGCAGGGACAAAAGCTGGCCACCTCTCCTATGTAACATCTCAGAACATAGATCTGAGCAAAACTGCCTTTTGCCTGGAGTACTCATTTGTCATTTATCCCTAACTACCAGACTAGCTGCTTGCGCGTGTTGGCTGCCGAGTGCAAGCTCTGTAACTTTCAGGAACAGGGAATTAAGTCCCAGGAATTTTCTTACATACAGTGCAAGTGGAGGCAGCCTTCTCTCCTGCACTGCACCCCTTCCCTGCCAAAGGAAATGCCACCAGTGGCACTCTGCCCTCAAGGTCTGGGGGTTCTCAGCAAAGACTCAGATTAGGAAAGGAAATGCAGGTATGAACAAAAACAGGAACGTGGTCAGAAATTACACAGAGGTGATGGCTGCTTCTGAGCATTTTGTGGTAACCAAACGATGTCTAAAAATGCATTTTAAAAGATTCCTTAAGATATTCTGCTATAAAAACATATCACTTTATGAATGAAAATAGTCTACCTTAGATCTTGTACAAACATTACAACTAAATCTTAATCGTTATTAGATTCACAGTAGGTTTTTTGTGGTTAATTAAGGCAATCAGAAAAGGTGCGGCTTGTTCTTGTTTGACATTGAAGATAATCAGATAAATAACAGAGCCAGTTTGGTAAAACCTCTTCTCTAACTCTCTTGAATTAACCTTTCAGTACAAAAGGTGCACCCAGGTGCCCTCAATTCCCTGGAAAACACAGCAAAGCAACACAGACATGGGCTCTGAGGACCAACTCCCCCTCCTCAAAGCAGCTGTCAATTACCTAAACTAGCAAACGCAGAAGCAAATGATATTCAGGAAAAAGAAAAAAAGAAAAGAAAAAGGCAAAGGTACTGAAAGGTAAGATCACAGAATTTCGCTCTGTACATTCAGGATCCGTTTTTAATATACCGTGTGGGGAATTAGGGCTGTTACTCTCATTAAGACTATCTGGAATCATATATCTAAATCCCCACGCAGCAAACTGGAAATATATCTTCCCCTCTGAGGATAGCTAGAATTGCAACTGGATGACTAGCAATATATGTTTTTTCTATTATCCCAACCGAAGAAAGGCTTTAAAACTGATGAACAAAGACATGCAAGCGTAATGCTGTGGGAGATACAAGAGAACAGAACTTGAAGGGAAGGGAAAGCAGAATGACTCTGTTAGTAAAGCTCTGTGAATGCACATCCTAGTTCAAAAAGTTCAGCTGCTTCTAGGAGAAAGAGGAACCAAATAAGGACTGCATTTGGAGGAAAGTCATTTTTGCCTCCATGCAAGAAACAAAGAGGCAACGGTTCAATTCTTAGACGACTTCATGAAAACCGTGTGATATTGGAGGAGTTAAAAAATATTCTGTAAAACCAAGGGCAGGGTTTTTTGCTTTCTTATTTTTATTTTTTAAGAATCCTTGACCTTTGAATAAAATGAGCATATTGTTTTACTGTGCAGTATCTCTTTACATTTTCCTCCCTTCAGGGGGTTTTGCTAACAGGAAGTGACCTCGTATTACAGCAGGTTGAACTTGCCTTTCCTTGGGAGCATTGTCAATTCAGGCAAACATACACTTTTCCATTGTTACTACGTACTTTTTTCTCCTTTCACATTACAGCAGGATAAAGCAGCTTTTCATACTTTCATATAACACTCGTCCTAGTATTTCAGCGTGGATTTTTAACAGTTCATGACAAAATACTTATTTGAAATGGCCAGAGCTCATTTTAGCAGATGCACAACGCCACAAACCCTCCATGACCACCAAGCAAGCTTGACAAGAGGTGGTTGCCAAAGGAGACTCACAGGGATGATTCCCTACACGTCTTTAATGAGCTCAGACATCACCACTACCGGCAGGCTCTACATTACAGACCACCTACTGATTTTTTTTTTTTTTCTTTTTTATTAATAAAATCCCCACACCCCTGGGCTGCTGGGAAATCCCTGACGCCTGTGATGGGAGCTGACGATGCCAACAACCCAAGCAGAAAGCAGAAGCAATTAGTGTATCTTAAATAGAAGAAACTTTTACCATGTCTAAGAGATAGTCCCAGGGATGAATAGGCTGTACAAGCAATAAACCAAAATCCAAACCAAGATGCCCAATGACAAGGACTGATGACTCAATTCCTGCCGTGTATCAAGTATTACCATTGCTAAGTTGTACGATCTTAGATATAAGTAAACAGACTGCATCATTTCAACAGGCTCGTAACACAGAAAAATGGAAACAGTGAGAGCAATGACAGTATTATTAGTTATTTCAGTGTTTCTCAAGGCACGGATAGGGAGAATAATTTATTGTTCAGATCACTGCTGAGGAAGGGACATCACTTTTAATCAGTCAACAAGATGCAGTCAGCAAGGAATGCTACAAATTCAGATATTTTGACCAAAATTTCTGCTGACCAGCAGTGAGACCTCTGTCCCAAACTGCCTCGTGATGTTTGTTAAGTGACTTGTTTGCAAGAGGCAGTGTCAGTGCTGTTCAGCATTAACATTCATGGAAACTATCTGAGTTGCAAAAAATCCTGACAAAATTGTAGCGGTGCCCATGCTCCCTAATCAAAATGTAGCACTTAACAAGGTCTTA